TGGCAATCAAACTTTCATCATTTTGATAATAGTGTTTAACAATCAGGACGGGTTGTTCTATCGTGTAATGCTCTATATTTACTAACTCCCATCTGTCTCCTATCAATCTGTCATTTCATTAATCATGTGACATCATGGTTGCCAAACTGAGGCGAAATTTAAATCTTGCGCCCTTATTGATACACCCTTTAGTAGCCGAACTGAGTAATCAAAAAATTGCATCAAATGGTATAAAAACCTAACCTCAAAGTTTGTATGGGACAAAAAGCTTAAGCAACTCCTGTTTCTACGACACTGTGTTCACTCGAACAATTGTAATTATGTGTGAATATGTGTTTTAGTAGTAAGTGACTGTTCGCAAAATATCATCTTTCCAGGTCTACCATAGTAGAAGTTATATTAAAAAAACTGATATAATAAGTAACACTTTATCACCCTGTATCTTTTAAACATACGTAATTAGGAAAAATATTTATTAAGATTTTCGTCTTATGTTGACTTGCTTAATCTGCTCCTAAATTTATGCCACTAAGTTTAGGGACACCTTGTATATAGGTGATTCTACAAAAGTTGGGCAACTTTTGACCTCATTTCGTTTATATAGTTTTCGGAGAAAATTAAACAGTATTTTGTTATGAGAACATAGATAATATAATAAATATACTGTTCCAGACCGGGCCAGTCACTTTTTCAAACAGTTTCTGAAATATCTGTGTTTTCTAAATTTGAATGCAAGGGAAGTGACGAGTATACCAGGGTACTAATTAAATACATAATTTATTGGAAAATATAAGATTTATTGCAACTTTGAGCATATTATACATTAAATATCTTAAAATCAAATATTACCACACATCAGTGGCGGCTGGTGGATTTTGGGTATAACGATATCTCAATTATTAGATATGGGACCCACACCAAATTTATATGAGTTTATAATGACATTAAATAAACAAGTTCTGCGCAAGCAGAATTTAAATTGAAGTTTGCGAAAAAAGATAACCGAAACATCGAACATGGAACTGACGACACAGTACTGATAAATTGGATACAAATTTGAGATTATAATTCGGAATTAAGTATTTTACTGATATTTTTTATTAGTGGATGCTACTTATCAACAAATCACATATAGCCTTATCTAAATTACAATGAAATATATATACCACAACCACCAACCACAGTACTGAAATTTTGACTGGAACTATACGTGCATTCACCACAACTTCGCCGCTTGCATTGTTTTCAAGATGACTGTCGTGCAAAGGGCGAGGTCTGTTGGTAATTTTTTACCAACACTTGAGTTAAAACGAGGACTTGACGATTAAACTTCAATATTTCGCAGGAATTTTAAATTTTAACATTGGACATAGAACTGACGGGTAAAAGTGAGTACAAAAATTATCAATTTTTTAAAAATTGCTATTATTCGAATCTATGATAAAATATGAAAAATACATTATTTAATTTTTTATAGTTTGTGATGAAATTGAAAAATTTAAGATAAATTGAATATATTTTAAAATAAAATCACTCAAATATTTGATTCAGGAGTTGTGACACGCCAAGGTACTGATGTTTTGAATATTTATTATGTTTTTCTACAAACGTGCTTTTGAAAAAATACATTAAAATTGGGTGGACAAGTTAAAAAAACTGGATCTTTTGTAATATACTAAAATATTTACAAAAAATATTAAAATACCTACTCTATTGACTGATGACATCAAGTTGTCCAACTTTTGTAGAATCACCCATATATGTATTTATTAATTTATATATATATATATATATTAGGGTGCTTCAAAAAAAATTTTTTTTCGCTCTTACCCCCTCAAATGTTTTTATTTAATATAAAAAAAATCCTCACCACGGTATGAACACTAATATAGCAATAAAATAAATAAAGAATATACAAGGTTGGTAGCCGGAGTAAGCAAAAAACTAACATACCCACCCCCATTCACGAATACCAATTGAATGGGGATACTACTAAGGCCTAGGTTGAGGAGGATTCCGGATTGTACTTAGTTTTGGGTCAGTTCAATTTCCTCCAAAAACCCTTCCTAAACTGGACGTATGGCCCGACCCGGCTGACAAAAATCCCGGGAGCTGCCTTAACCTTTGACACTGTCATCCACGAACTCCTAGGGTGGATCTACCAGCCGGCGTAAAAACTTCGGATCCAACAAACACAGGTAATGCTGTGATTTGGCGGGATACGCAGGAGAACGGAAAGGGGGTAATATAACCCCGGGAGATCAGTGGATGACAATATATCTGGGGCTTGCCATACGTTCCCATACTCATACTCATATAAAAAAAATCCTCACCAAATATGGGCGTTCCAGCTCAACTCTAAGAGGTCGCTATTTTTATTTTAGTTTCCCATTGAATTAACATGGGAAAAAATTAATTTATTATTTTATACCTCTGTATCAAAGTAACTTTTGGCAATGATAATTGCAGTTTCTTATATAAAATTTAACGCTCTACAAAAAAGGTCTCTTATTATTTTTCGATAAATTGATTTCTTCTAGAGTTATTCGAGGTCAAAGTTTGATTAAAATTAAATTTTCTGGTACAATTAGCAGACGGGAGGTGAAAGGGGGAAAACTTTGACCTCGAATAACTCTAGAAGAAATCAATTTATCGAAAAATAATAAGAGACCTTTCTTGTAGAGCGTTAAATTTTATATAAGAAACTGCTATGATCATTGCCATAAGTTACTTTGATACAGAGGTATAAAATTCCAAACATAAATTAATTTTTTCCCATGTTAATTCAATGGGAAACTAAAATAAAAATAGCGACCTCTTAGAGTTGAGCTGGAACGCCCATATTTGGTGAGGATTTTTTTTATATTAAATAAAAACATTTGAGAGGGTAAGAGCGAAAAAAAAAATTTTTGAAGCACCCTAATATATATATATATATATATATAATAGATTTTTTTTGAGAATTTTTGAACAAAATTTTTGTATTTTTATTTTATCTTAAAGAGCGTCAAAGAATATGTTTATATGATTTTTCTTCAAAATTTTTTGTCTTTCGGGTTTTTAAATAATCGAAAAATAAAATTAAAAAAAGTCAATTTTGCTAAACCCACACATTACTTCCACATTAACAAAAACAAATTCTTGCAAAAATTTAAGTTAATTTATCAAAAGGAACACGACGTGTCCCTGAGGGTTTTTTATACATAAGTTAGGAAATTCAAAATGTTTTTTTGAAAAAAAAAATTATTGTATAATTGAGGATATTATATTAATTGAAATGAAAAAGCATAAGAATGTTGGCACAAGAGGTGAAATATATTAATATACAAATTATAATATACCAGTATACAGTGTGTCTCCGGATCGGATTTTCGACAGGAAAAACTTTTTTAGACCTGATACAGCTAAACCGAGCACGGATTTTGAATCTACGGCCAAAAATTATGTTTACGTGTGCGAGCGTTTAGCTGTGATATTTCAAGAGTTGAAAATTTACCTACAGTGTAATTTATAAATGTTTTTTTACTCCTATTGCATATTATTGACATTTTGAATTTTCCGTAAATAATGGTAACCAATATAATCGCCCGGCCTAACAACGTGAATAATGAACTCATTATTCACGTTGTTAGACACCACTGATTGTCTGATTTCAATATTCACTGTTATTTGAACCAATCGGGTTTAAATTGGGAGAAAGTAAGGTTAACAGATGTCAGATTTGTTTACATATACTAGGGGCGACTATAATGATCTTTAAAATCGGGGAAGTGAGGTTATAATAAATTTTATTATCAATGAAAGTTACTTAATTGGAGTAGAAAAAGCATAGTACCTATTACACTCGAAATAATTCGCATTATTTACTAGTATCTCTCGTATACTAATATACTATTATAGGTAAATATATGATTTATTTTATTATTATTACTTTGAGTTTCATATTATTTTTTTTAATATATGTGTGTGTTTTTTTACTATACACTTGTGTTATATTTATTATTTATTCTGTTACTTTGGTATGTTCATGGTTAACTATTTATGATATTATTTATAGTGTTTATTTTATTTTATTTATTTTATTTATTAAATTGAAACTACAAATCAACTTGTAATAGCTGTTAACGTAGAGTAATCATTACAATAAAGAAAAAATAGATTTATAAATTGAATAACAGTATAATAATTATAAATTGTCCTTGATGTACTTTTTCAATGTTTTTATAAATTTTTCATATTTATCCAAGGATTTAATGGAGTTTGGTAGATCATTAAAGATTTTAACACCCTGTTGTATTGTTGATCCAGAAGCCTTTTTGGTCCTAACTCTGAGTGTTCTGAGGTTTTGTGCTCCTCTAGTTTCATAGTTGTGAAAATCCGAGTTTATGTTTAAGCTTGCACTTGTTTTAATGTCTTTGTTTTTTATCTTATATACTAATTTGCACAATTCGAAACTAATTAACTGTTTAATATTCATTACCGGAATTATTTTATAAAGGTCTTTAGTTGGTGTATCATACGGTAGATTAAAAATTGCTTTTAGCGCTTTATTTTGCAGTCTTTGCATTCGGTTTAGATTTCGTTGGGATGTATTTGACCATATTGCTATGAGATAACTTAAGACTGATTTAATATATGAGTTATATATAAGGAATCTGCAACTCTCCGTCAAATATTCATTTACACGTCTAAGCGCACCAACTAAGCCACTAAGTTTGTTATATATTTCACCATAGTATAGTGTTAATTAATAGTAAAACAAATAAAGGTCATGCAAGCAAACTTTACATCTATAAAATTAAATTATCCCTTGGCGCAATATTTGGCTTAAAAACTTTTGTAAACACCATGTTTACTGGAAATACCTCCAATGTTAAATAATGGTTAGAAATACACACCTATAAAAAATAAGTAGAGGTATGCTAATTTCCTGTGTAAAATTATAGTTTTTTTGGAGGTATTCCATCAAAAGTAGGTATGTAAAAACCCCCTTTTTTTAGATCACTTTCACAAGGCTTTAGAAATTATGAATCGTGCAGTCAAAATTGCAGGACAACCAGGAGCTAAGGAATCAATTTCATATCTTACTAATATGGAAAATAATTCAATTCCAATCCAACCACAACCTAGAGTAGAGGTAATTATTTGTATATTTAAATCAATGGCCAAATTTACAATAAAAAACAATTTTGGATATTTTATGTCAACGCCTACCTTAATGCACCATGCAATAGCTAAATCCAAAAGAAATAAATTTACATATTAATTTTTTTTATTTATTTTAGAGTTTTGCAGAAGCTGTTAGAACTGTTTCAAAAATACCCCAAGGTTTTAAAGACCTTGTAACAAAGAGGTGTGAAGAAAAGGGGATTTTGTTTGTACCTATTCCAAATAAATATCATGAAGCTAAACAAGTGTATAGAATTGGTACAAATGGTGTGCAGTGTTATATTGACAGAAATGTCATATTTTATTCCCAAAATAATTCAACGTGGATACCTACATCTCTAAATACTCTATTAGATATATCCTAAACTGGTTAATTTAATATTACATAGATAATCTTATAATTTTAAATAAAACATTGCATTTTAACAATATTTTTATACTTTTCTCTTCGAACTTATTTTACCTTTACATTAATAGGGTGTAGTATCCAAACTCTTGATGAAGCCACGCGTTTACAAAAGCGCTTCCATAAATTATTTACAAAAATAATTAAAGACTAAAGCCCGTTTCATATAGATGCGAAATTCGAATTACAAAATGGGAAAATGCTCCAATGGGTTCATATGATTTGGGGGGAATCTTGAGATTTATCCAATATTTTGCTAAAATCGCACTAATTTAGCGTGATGCGCATGAGTTTCGCATGTACATTAATGCAATTGCTTATCATACCTACGCCATTTATGTTTATTTTGTTTGTATCGTAGTGTTGGTTTTATTCGAACTGTTTAAGTGTTTAAGTTTTTTTTGTTTTTTATAATGGACAAAGAGTTTTTTGAGGTACATTAATGTTTCTTATTTTACCTTTATAGTCACTTATTATTAGTACCTAAAATAGCATAGAAAATATGAGAAAACAATGTCCCTAAAATAGTTCGCATCTATATGAAATAGAAGTTGCGAAATGCGCAATTCTCATTTCGCATCTATATGAACCGACTTAAAGCGTAAAACATATCTTGGCGAATTTAATTTTAAATGGTAAAAAAATAATATTTAAATAAAGATAAATTCAAAGTTAATTATTTTATATAACTTTTAGTAAAATTAAAAAAAAAGTTCTATAAGTAGATGACAACTCGATGGTATGTGTTACAATTGAGAGGCTGTTGAAGGATTTCAGGAGGTCCTTTTTCCTGAAAGATAAGGATAATGTGGTCCTTGCACAGGACTCGGAAAGTAACTAGATTTAGATCTAGAGGATGGTACCACATAGTTGGTACTCCTGTCAAACTAAATTGGTACTGACGTCATGCACGTTTTATACAACCCAAAGAGATTTTCGTATGCAGAGAAGAAAAGGAGAGTCATCATCTTTAGGCATGAACAGGGTCCCATTATTTAAAATAAACCTACCATTTATAGGTATATATACCATAGGTATATGGAAATAAATATATACTAACATTACTCTGCAAATTATCAAAATTTGTGAAAGGCTATCCTTTCAAAAATAAAAAGCAGGAACAAGGTCTTTTGCCGAAAACTGTATTTTAAGATATGGGATGCCTGAAACAATTGTTTTGGATCAAGGAACAGAATTCATAGCTATAACTCTCAAGAAAGTTTGCAAAATTTTACAAATTAAACAACCTTTATTGACAGAATATCACCACCAAACATTAGGTTTTTTTGAAAATACGCATACAAATCTGAGAGCTTACTTAAGAATACAAACAGCAGAACACCATAACACTTGGAGTTCTTGGGTTCAGTTCTGGTGTTTTGCCTTCAATAATACAGTTCACACTAACACAAAGTACATTCCATACGTTTTTGGTAAGCAATGCAAACTACCTTCAAATATGAATGCGGATACTGAACCATTGTACAATTTTGATAACTACCCACTCACAGAGGTCCTGAACGAGTCTTAGGTCACATAAAAATGACGCCAAAAACTGACTGCAGTATTGGAATAAGGATGTCCTCTGAAGTTTAAAAATATGTTTTTTGAAATTGTAGCTGTTCTCTTTTTGAAGTTTTGCTTATTAATCCAGATATCAAACGTCATTTGGTGATTCATTTTAGGTTTTTGCTATTATCTTTAAAACGGAGGCCTTTGGAAAAAATGTTTGAATAAGGAGTGGTGAATTTTTTATGTTTATAAATTATAATTGGGTATGTTAAATTTTTTTTGTAAGTTAGTACTTAATAATTGTCAAATATTATTAAACATGGAAAAAAACATGAAATATGTTTTGATGAAAACTCTACAACTGCTTTTTTAACGACTCTTTGAAGAATGTGCCATGTTGTTTATCTTGTATTGTATTTATTCCAAAATTTTTATAAATGCGGTGAACATTCTTCCTAGTACATGAATTTTAAAGTTTGAGAAATATGAGCAGCTTTAAACATAACTACTAATGTTTGTATGTGAATTTTTATTTGACCAAAGGACTAACAGTTTGAAAAAAAAAACTTTTGTTAGAAGAGTGTAAGGATGTTTCAGAAGCATTTAACATGCATTTTCCTCAAATATGTCACCTTGGTAGTTCGTAGAGACCAAATTCAGTGTTTTAGGCCATCTCAACGCCTGTTCTTTTCCCAGAAGTTTCACTAGTCCGTTCCAAAATACGTAGGCAAAAGTGTTGCCTGGCAATTGCCTTTAAAGGTGATGGCAATTGCCTTTAAAGGTGATGGCTAACTACATTTCTTTATTTACTCCTTGTTGGCATTTTAATGTGAGCAACTGATGGTGGTATTATTGCTTAAGCGAATACCTCAACTGAATATACATTACTATTCAATTTATTTAAGGGTCCTGCTTTTTTTAAATACAATATTTTTTATAGTGTAGCGATTAACCCTCTGGATCTCGGAATGATGACTCATCGCCGGTGAACCAGCACACCGGAGCTCGTTGGAATGTTCGGTAAGGCACTTGCGTGACGTGTGTCACGTGGGCACTGAATATATAAGAAACAGCGCAGCATGGAGCAGTCAGTCAAGCTTTGGTACTCGCGACGAAATAAATTAAATATACGTGATATATAAATAAATAGTAGTTAAGTGATTAGTTAGTTTTATAGTTTCTTAGTGTTTTCAGTGTAATTAAGTTATAATATAAATCGTTTAGTTCGTTAACCCAGGTAGCATACTGACGTCTGCTGACGTTTAAATGACGTTGAAATGACCCAGAAGACGTCATTTAAACGTCAGCAGACGTCAGTATGCTACCTGGGAATAAACCAGTGCCTGTTTTTATTCACACTACGAACCGTAAAAACGTTACAATTGGTTTCAGAAGTGGGATTAGTGTGAAACTGGTTTCGTTAATGGAAAAGTGGCGGACCTTAAGCGGGAGCTGGAAGAAAGATAATGTGAAACAACTGGAAAAAAGAATATGTTGCAGCAGCGGCTTCGCGAAGCGAAGCTGGTAAGAATCCAGAAACGTATTTATTATTTGATATGCATTTACCCAGATAGCAAAATGTAGTCACGATGCGCGCACAGTGAGTGCACGAGTGCGTCTCTAAACGGCATGCGTGCGCGCTGATCACTACACAGATGCGCTTACATATGCGTCTCATATGCAGCGCACGTGTGCCGGCGTATTTAAAGCACACGTGTGCCGACGCATTTCCAGCGCACATGAATGAGTAAAAAAAGTTGTATATTTCAAAAGGAAATGCATATATAACGACAGGTTTAATGCAAAATGGCATAAGCGCCAAATTTTTCGAAAAATTGTTAGAAGTACAGGTTGATAGAGAATTAAATTCTCTAGCTAGAGCTCTATCGACCTGTAACAATTTTTTAAAAATTTTGGCGCTTGTGCCGTTATATATACGAGGGTTGTCTGAAAAGTTTCCGACCTTAACATGAAGATGGCAGCACTCATCAACAAAAGTTGGGGAATATGTTTGCGCATGCTCTGATAGGTACCTACCAAAATTTCAGCCATTTTGGATGCGCAGTTGTTGTTGGCCAATCGTTTGATTGAGTCGATGTGAGTGTTTTCGCGAAAATGGAAAAAATCGAGTATCGATCTGTCATTAAACATTTATTTTTAAAAGGCAAAACACCTACGCAAATTAAAGATGAGTTAAACGCTGTTTACGGGGACTCTGCACCATCATTTACCACCGTGAAATTTTGGGTAGCTGAATTTAAACGTGGCCGTACCAGCTTGGGTGACGATAAACGTTGCGGACGGCCAAAAACTGCAACCACTGACGATAACATCGCTCAAGTTCACCAAATGGTACTAGACGACCGTCGAATTAAGGTTAGAGAGATAGCAGAGGCTATGAACATGTCCAAAGAACGTGTTTGTCATATATTAAACAAAGAGTTAGGCATGAGAAAGCTTTCCGCGCGTTGGGTGCCGCGTTTGCTCACTCCGGAGCAAAAACGTGTTCGAATGGACATTTCCAACGGTCTGTTGGCGCAGTTTAGGTGCAATAAACCAGAGTTTTGGCGGCGACTTATTACAGTAGATGAAACTTGGATACACCATTATACTCCAGAAACCAAAATACAGTCAAAACAGTGGACTGCGAAGGGGGAATCGGGTCCAAAAAAGGCAAAGTGAAAGTGATGGCGACTGTTTTCTGGGATAGTCATGGAATTGTCTTAATTGATTATCTTGAAAAGGGAAAAACCATTACTGGTGCATACTACGCATCATTACTTGATAAGCTGAAGGCAGAAATTGCGGACAAACGGCCACATTTACAGCGAAAAAAAATTTTGTTTCACCAAGACAATGCGCCGTCTCATACTTCAGCGGTTGTTAGGGCGAAAATTCACGAATTGCGGTTTGAACTGCTTGACCACCCTCCTTACTCACCAGATCTAGCTCCAAGCGACTTTTTTTTGTTTCCTAGACTAAAAGTTGCGCTTGGAGGACAAAGATTTTCAACAAATGAGGAGGCCATAACGTTTGTAAACAACTACTTTGCAGAGAAAGACGCCAACTGCTATTTGGACGGGTTGAAGAGATGGGAGCATCGCTGGGAGAAGTGTATAGACTTACAAGGAGATTATGTTGAAAAATAAAAATAAATTTGAAGAAAAAATGTCTTGTTTCTTTCTTAGGTCGGAAACTTTTCAGACCACCCTCGTATATATATATATATATATATATATATGTCGAATCGGTGTTTTCGGGGCCGCGTTACTTGGACTTGGACATCATTCACAACAATCAAACACTGATTCTCGACAATTAGTACATTTAATTACGAATATCTAACTAGACAAAGCGATAGTCGCTAAAGATTATACGCACAAAGTAAATTAAAGTATGAAACTAACGATTGTAACGAATCCGCGGTCTCCGGGTTTACAAGCGTCTTTACTGTCTTATTGCCCGATTAAGAATGAATCTCATCCCCCCGAGGGTGAGTACATTTCCACCTTT